AGGGAAAGATTGGCAGCACTGCAATCAATTTCTTATGTTAGATTTTATGCGAATAACAGACCATCAGTAAAAAAGAATCTAAAGGTGTCGAGATTTTTAATATTTTCTGTAGTAAGATTTAATAACGAGAATTGAAGAGATGAGTCTCAAACCTTGCTTGTGCACTTGCATAATGTTTGCATTCTGCTTTCATTGGACAAGCATGGCACCTTGGGTTTTCCTTTGTGCAGAATACCTGCATAAATTCCAAGGCGCATTGTTACCACTACCTATTCTAGATTAGAATCAAAATTTTAAAAACAAAACTAGAAATATAGTGTTATGACAGACCTTTCCAAAGGTTATCATGTGATAGTGCAGTTCATAGCTGCTTTGGCAAATATATGGAGTCAGTAATTGTTTCTTGGTTATCAAGAAAAAACAGCTCATAATCGAATGGAATGCACAGATGTGAAACAAATAGTTCAAATGGAAATTTGAGGATTACAGTGTTCTATGGTCAAGCTCGCATAGTCGGGGCCAGAGGTATTTCTGAATGGTGTCCAATATCGGAAACCTGCACCAAAACAATATCTCATTTCATTTGAACTCCGAAAATATCAGCTGCGAAGCTTATGGGTGGATGGTACTTACTCTTCTATAAGGTGGAACTGAAGGCTTCCAGGGAGTGCTTTCAGGGGAACCCATCCGAAACGAACCGCTATCCGAGCAACATTTACATCAACCTTGTCAAAGAAATAAAGAAATTGTTGCGTTTATAGGCTAGTTTAATTGGTAAACAAGTAATTGCTGCATTGATTGACTTACCGTAAAGGCAACCTGTTGAAGAGACAAAAGTCGTACACATTCCACGCTTTTCAAGCCCAATCCCATGAACTCCAACAGGTAATCCCTGTAAGTAGAAGACCAGGTAGTGAAGAAAGTCGGAAGATTTGAGAAGAAAGTAAGTCGTATCCGTCTTGGATGAGTTTCTTATATGTGGACTTACTTCACATCATCAGGTGGAACATATCGTAACCATTCGAGATCTATGCTTTTATGCATGTCTACAACTCGATCCAGAAATTGCTGTAAAATGATGGGGTTATTGTTATATTCAGAAGAAAATAACCAAGTTAAGAGAAGATAAATTCTGACTAGAAAGTATAGAACACATGTAGCAAATTCCAAAACCTTGATTCTTCCCGCAATAATAGTTTGCTGACCACGTCCTTCGATGATGCTGGCAACTTTGCTGGTTTCTGCTTGTCTTACTGCCTCCCAATACACCGAATCCATCTGATCCTTGCTTCTTGGTCTAGAATAGATCTTTCCTAAACTCACCCAGTTCCTCCTTCTAAGTACCACATCTTTAACAATTTTATTCTTCCCTCTCGGAATTGTCTTTTTAGTCTCCTTAGAAGCTGTTTTCCTATTCGGGCTTCTGTTTTTCTTTTCAGTTTCATTCCCGCTCTGTCTTTTCACCACTTCACGAGGCAAACATATAGGCAGTTCGGTTGGTAAAGGCTGTCTTGGCACCACTTCACGAGGCAAGCACATAGGATTTTCAATTAGTAAATATTGAGACACAAGATTCATATCTGGTTCAGGTTCTGATCTCACAATACCATTCTGTCTATGCACCTCTTCCTGGAGCAAGCATATAGCCCTTTCAGCGGGTAAATCTTTGGGTCCATGATTCATATCTGGTTCAGATTCTGATCTCACAACACCATTCTGTCCTTGCTCGTCTTCTTGAAGCAAGCACGTATCCTTTTCGGCCGGCAAATCTTTGTGTCCTTGATTCATATCCGGTTCAGGTTCTGATCTCACAATACCATTCTGTCTTTGCACCTCTTCTTGAAGCAGGCATGTAGCCTTTTCGGCTGGTAAATTTTTGGACCCATGATTCATATCTGGTTCAGGTACTTCTGTTACAAAATATCGGTTACCATCTGCATCATAAGTTGCTCCAATGGATGTCATGCTGCTCTCAATTGTTTTTTGGCCATCTATGGTCATTGACGCTTGTTGATTACTCGTTGACTGAACTAGAAAATTTTCAACAAGTGACATGTATGCAGCACTGCCAACCATAGCAACAAGTTAAACAAAGTTCCCTTCATTAATTGTGTATCGTTTTTCTATGAGCAACATTCCATGAGAGAGAAAAAAAGCCAGATAACTTTTATTTTGTACCTTGATAGGTGGTCTGACACATTTTGGGTTAGGAAAACTCCTACCACTGAGTCCACAACAGAACCTTTCCACTGTCTGAATCTCCTATCACCTGTGAAGCATGCATTGTCTCCTTTAGTTAAATCTATCTGTCTAAATTTAATACAGATATATAAGCTATGACTAAGCAATTGAAAGTTCCTTTCGAAGTGTTTTTCTTAAAATTGCAAAAACAGCAATGATTTATTAACTTAGGTTCTTGATGTCTATGTTAAAAACTTAAAGGACAACTAGGATAGAAAATTAACAATATTATCAAGTATAGAGATGACGGCACATTCTCAGATTGTTCATCAAATTCAGGATTCATTAGCTAGGAATCAGCTAGTCCAAATTCAATAGATTATCGACATATACATACCAAGAAGGCAACGGATGTTCAGATTAGATGACGAATTTCTTCAATTTCCCAAATAAATAATGGGATGGCTATCCTAAGAAAAAACAAGAAGGTATGGCATGTTGAACTGTTATTTCCAGAGAAGAAAGGGCCTCAAACAATTCTCAATCAAAAGATGTAAAGCAATGGTAGTCAGCAAGAAAGTACCTAGAAACTGATGCGACCGAGAAGTAAACGCATCTATTCGTCCATCGAAAGTTATTTTTTCTCTTTGCCACCATTCTTTCCTTTTTCTCTCTTCTTCTTCACCCTCTCCACTATCTATTTTCATTAGTTGGTTCCACCTTCTCAATGACTCTGGATCTAGATCAACTTCATGTCTTGCTCTTCCACGACCCCAATAGGGAATTAAAGCATTCTGTCCGTCAACTACATGTTCCGGTTTACTTTTTGGTCTGCCAGGACCTCTTTTTTCACTCTTATTGTCATTGATGCTTGCATTCCGTAGTACATCACCAAGTTTATCCATTACAGCATGCTTAACTGTCTTAAGAAGAATCCCACTTTCGTCATTGAAAAGTTTCGGTCCAGCTGCAAAATATTTTTACCCATCGTCACTTCCACATCTAGAAGATAAAGTTTAATAAAAGAACTCGCGAAAGCCATGGTGTAAAGCTTCTGTAAATCTTTCAGAATTGAGAAAGTACTGCTAGTGGGATGGGAATGGATGAAGAAGTATGTATTGCCGAGCTGCCAATTTGTGCTGCTTTCACCAGTTGAACAAAATAAAACAGAAATACTTTGAAGAAAAAAGAATCGAATTCACCCTTATGAACATACCCTACGTATATTTTGAGAAGAAACTGTGATCACTGGAAAATTTAGAAGATTTTTACTTTGTTTTTGTTTCATGGAAAGTGAATGCATAAATACTAGTTACATTCGATGCTGAGCAAAAGAAGCTAGAAAACGTATTATTAGTACGTAGAACCGCAGGAGTTACAAGTTCCTTGGCTTGGAATTTTATCTCTTGCTGCTTGATTCCTAGAGCTGCTTGATAGAGTTAAATTAGGTCAGTATAAAAGCAAGATCGTCGTATGTTTCTTCAACTAAGAGCCCGACCATTACTCTTGACACTTGCGAAGAAAGGTCAGAAGTTAATTACTAATCAAAACTATCAACTGATAGTCTCTACACTAGTTTCATAATGTCTTGACTCTAGTTTCTCTTACTATCCTTCCATTCCCTCTCACAATTAGAAATGCTCAGCATTTTTTGCACATTATTTGCTAGCTCTCCCTCTACAAGAAAATTGTTTTTCTTTGTCCATAACCTCCAATAAATTCCTGTTGATGACAGATTTTCCACTGGCACAGAACTTTAGAAGTTCTATAGATGTCCCAAAACCCCAATGCTCTTATCCACTTAGAATATATTTGGGATAGTAACTTTCATCAGATATAAACAACACACATCACAGGAAAAAAAATAATTCGAAAAAAGTTAAAATGAATGCTAGAAAATAAGGTAAACAATTTACACTAGCATCGCAACAGAGATTTTAGTAGAGGGAAGCAAACGTACGTTTTATTGATTTGTCGGTGATTCGGATCTTCGTTTTCCGCGACTGTTGTTTGCTTTTGCCATCTTCAAACTTTGATTTTGCAGCACAGGGTCTCATCTCAGAGCAGCTTGGTGCTTTAGCCTCACAGACTATTTGAACTCCATTAACTTCATTGGTTAGAGCTTGTTTAAGAGAAAGCCCTTCCTCAATGCATCCCTCTGCTAGAGTTTCGCGGGTTTCTCGCTTTAATTTGTCGGTTATTTGAAACTCTAGTTCTCCAGGAATGGGTATATGATCTGTGGGAGCTGTCACTAAATCCTTCCCTTTCTCTGCGAATCTTGCATTGAGAGAAGTGGGATCGACTATTGGAGTAAACACCTTAGATCTCTTCTTTCTTTCATGGCAACTAAAGTGAGACGACCATAAATAGCTGAACAGGTTCAATTTACGCCTCCTCTTGGTCATTTTTTTCATGCATCTTTTAGGAACATTAGGCCCAACCTCTCTGCTATTGCCGAGACAGGAGTCTACTCTAAATACCCTTCTATAAGCCTGTAATGAATTATATTGACAACAAGGTTTAGGCCAAAATTTTCGAGCAGACCTCGTTGCACGAACGTTCCATCTTAGTTCATTCTCATTTGACTTGAATCCCAATTTATCATCACTCAACAAAACCATTGCTCCACGATTGTTATCCATGTCAGGCTGCATAGTCGAATATTTATTATCATCTTTCAAATCATGGTTGACATTACTAACCATAGCCATCTTGTTGTCATCAACAGGCAGATTTTCCATCTTTGGAATTTCAGCAACTTCTTTATGATGCTCTCTCACTGAACTCTCTTGGCTATTTCTGAGAGGAGGAGGAGCATTTTTAATATACTTCCTCTTCTCCTTTTTCTCTTGCATGCACTTCGGAGTTGCGTCTTTCTTTACACACTTCCTCTTCTCTTTTGTGTCTTGCATACATTTCGGAGATGCATCTTTCTCAACACACTTCCTCTTCTCCTTTTTCTCTTGCATGCATTTCGGAGTAGCAAGCTTTGGCATCTTTCTGGGAGTTCGTTTAGGTTTACCTTCAACGGCTACTTTCGTTCTATGTTTCTTCCTCTTGGGTTTCTTCACTGGCCTTTTGTTCTGATCCAGATCCATGCCATTTCTTGGTCTTTTGCTGCCACTTTTCTTTGGCAATGGAGTCGAAATCGCAACTTGCTCAACTGGCTTTGAGCACCCAATATGATCAAGCTTCTCATAATTCATACGAGAGATTGTACCATGGTCTGCATCTTGTTCTTTACCATCTGCATACCAATTCATCAGGTAAGAAAATACCGATTGTTTAGAATTCTTACGAGGTAATTACTGCTGTATCGAACATATTTTATTAGTCAAACTATCACTAGTTCCTAGAACAAAAGGAAGAACAGAAAAGGAACAATAACCAATTCAAGAAAAGAATTACTTCCATGTGCACAGACAAGATAATAATATAAAGAAAAAAAATTGACATCATTTACAAGGAAGTACACAACATTTTTCTCTGTATCTATCACTCTCCTCCAGGTCCGGAATAGACAAAAGATTATGGTTTTCAGATTGAAAACCCTCTTCGGAAATACCTCCTGAGTATCTGAAGATTTGAATACCATGAACAGAAGCGGTAGAATTGTCGTTCCAGTCATAGATGCTCTCTTTCAAATCTATCTGAAAACCAGCACCAGTTTCCAAATACTTGCTATTGTTGGGATGTTCATTCTTGCTTGTGGAAGTCGCCGCAGTAATAATTGCACAAATGGGGTCTCGAGCCTCTTCTGCTGCGATTCTTCCCAGAAAACTTTGTGAACCATGTTCCGAGAACCTTTTAACATAGACCGGTTGTGGCCTTGCTGGCAGAGGCGGGGGCTTTTCTGGAGTTACTGGAGCACCAACATTATGTATAGCAGGCTCCCTTTTCTCCATTGCACTGCCAGGTTCTTTGCCTTTTTGTTTCCTCTGATATACCTTCAGTGTTGACAAGCTTATTATACAATCCTAGTACCAATCAAGCCATTATTTGTTTTTCAAAAAAAAAAAACCCTTTTTACAGCAACAGATTAAGAAAAGTTCTTGTGCACAAAAAGAATCGGAAAATAAAATGAAATAAAATAATTCCTGATAAAATTGCAACTGAGATTGGAGAATATAATATCTGAAAACACAGTGCAGGCGAGTAAAGACAGGAAAAAATCAGAACAGAATTGCATGGAGCGAAAACGTCAATATGTCTCTGCTGTGATCTCGGTTGGTTACGAAGGTAGAGGGAAAAAAACGAGAGACATGTACTGGAGAGATTTGTTTGACTACCTGCAAAGCAAACTTAGTTGTGTTCTTAAGGAGACAGCAAGAGCTGGCATGAGTATTTTTGTACTCCAATTAATTAACTTGCTGGAGGATTTTTATTAAAAGCTTCCGCTTTGATTTTTACCAAACTAATGATACCTTTTATTTTATCAACGAGAATTGTACCAATTAGGTATTTTTGAAATATTGAAATTTTTATGGCCTCTTTTTTAAAAAAAAAAAAATTGAATTTTTTTACTTCAAATTAATTTTTTCCTTGTATTTTTATCTCTTTGATTTTAATTTGTTAATATTACAAATAAATTTTTAAAAATAAAAAATATTATAAAATATGATTTTAATATATTTCTAATTAAAAATATTCTAAAAATATTTACTGATGGTATTTAAATAATTTCATTGGAGGGTAATGGCCGTGCCATTGTTACTGTCACTGCTAGCTATGATATAAATTAAAGGTTATTTCTGAAATATCCTCAAACAGTAGCAACGGTAACCAATAGCATTTGTTACTGCAATGCAAATTTCCTCATTCTCGAATAGGTAAACAAAATTAGATATTTATATATTATTTATTAGATTTTAAGTATTCATTTATATATATATATTAAAAAATATAAGTGTTTTACAAATATATCTATATAATATATATCTCGGATTTGATTCAAGTGAGTTTTAGTTGTGAGTTAAATTTGATAACATTTATACCATATTTATTATTTATTAGTTTAAATAATTAACTAAAAAATACTTATTTATTCATATAAGATTGATTTGATATCTAATTAAGTTCAGACTGAATTATCATTAGGATAATTTCAAAGAAAATTGTTTTGCAATTCTGAATTATCATTGGACGAATCTTTATTTGTTCAGTGGATAAACTTTGTTGTTATTTATTTTTTTTTATTTTTTTTTTGAAAGCCTGTTGTAGCTACCCTGCCATTGACATATATATCTCAATAAAGTCAATGAATTTATAGATATATATAGAAACATTAAACAGATTTTGTTGAATATTACTGTTTTTCCATGCTTAAAACAGTAATATATTTGTATTCAACCGTTCATCTTAGGAAAGTTTTCAATTATATTTGATTTGGCTCTTAATTAATAGCTTAAAATACTACTATTAAAGGTTAAATCTAAAATGTGTTTTCAAGATTTTGTCCAATTATAAAAAAGAATATTAAAAGGAAAATATAAAATGACAAAAACACTATAGACATCTATGATAATACTCCATCATTTCTCCTATAAAGAGAGTTTTATTGGATTTGTTTATGTAGATTAAGAAAATACATTAAATTTCATATCAACTCCTACATTTTTATTATATTTATTACATTGCCTTTTTAATTTCTAAGAAGAATAGAGTAGTAAAACTTGGTATTCAATTATTTTCCTTTTTAATACATATATTTTGAAACATCTAAATAAATAAAATTTCCACATAATAACCTTATAGTTAATATTTAGATAATTTAATTAAATAGATTTTAATTCTTAACCTTTTCTTTTAAATCTCTTTTATTCTGTATCATTTTTTATATCAAAGCATAATTTTTCTTAGTTATTCATGTAAT